GCTTGAGAATTTAAAGCGGCAGACGAGCGTGCGCTTAGAATAAACAGATATCGTCCGCAGGTGTGGACACTAATATCGTTATCTTTATAGTTATCATTCTTGGTGTGAATGGGACTTAAGCCAATATATGTGCCTATTATATTATTAATAATGGTGCATAAATACATAAATAATAATAAAAGATTGTCAGTATAATGCACATTGTCTGTTTTCAAGTATTCTTAGCGATTGTGTAAATTACGGCTCATTAATGTCAGCAATTTTGTGTGTTTGTGTCATTTGATGCGATTATGTGGATGGATGTGTACAGATATAGATTTATAGATCCAAGATATCTTAATTATACCGTTGGCCATTGAACACCAATATAAGCCTCTAGTTAAAATGAATTTTCGATGTAGGCTTGTGTTGTGGTGGATGTGAGTGTATTGTCTGTAAATATTAAGCTGCAAAAATGCCATTTAAATATGAATCCCGCGTGTCTCTTTATGAATGAATGGCACAGACGCGCGGTTTAGTTTACTACACACATACTGAAGTGCGCAGTGTTTTCAGCGTCTGCTGTCTCGCTAAATGAGAACATAAATACATGAACAACAGTCAGTGTCTGCTCTATTACAAATAATTTATATTTAAAAAATACCCAAAACAGCAGAATTACAAGATGGAAATATAGGCTAGAAAGATATTTAAACTTGCTCTGCCCTTACGTCCATGATATTGACTCATTGCGGAGTTGTTTTGTCAATCTTTCCAGCTCTTAACGCCGAATGTGCTCTTGGATGGTTTGATACATGATGGGCTAATGTAGAAGCAAATAACTTTAAATAAATAACTTTAACTTTAAATAACTTTTAAAAAATAAACCCCTTTGTATTGCATTGCATATTGTATGTTCAGGGATGACAGATTGAGAAGCAGACATGCTATTTATGACTGGATGTCTGTAACTTTGCAGATACTTTGCAGTAAAAGTGGCTCTCCTATTAACTTTGACCTATAAGTGCGGCTCTCATAAAAAAAAATAGCGAACCTTGTTTTGTTTGTTTTTCTTTTCTTGTCTTTTCTTGCAGTATTTTTATATCACATATTCAATGACACCGAGAACTAATGGAGCTCATAGATCAAACCAAAAAAAAAAAAGACCATGAACCAGTTTTTATGTCATGTCATATAATCTGTATGGCTCTTCTTCAAGCTCTTGGGTATCAAATCACCGTGTTTTTTTATTTCCCAATGAGGTTCAGATCTCTTAGAGGAGATCAGGGCCCTTATTCACAAAACATCTTAAGGCTAAAAGTAGCTCATAACTCGCCGATTTAGGAGAAAATCTTAAAAATAATGGGCGTGTCAGTTCTAAATTTAGGACTCCTAAATTTTTGTTCTAAGAGTATTTCACAAAGCGTTTTAGCACTAAAATTAGCTCCTAGATCTGTGAAACGTTAGGAGTAGTGAAGAGGACTCCTAAGTAGGGCTTGGTATCGAGTTCGATACTTTTTAGGCACCGACCGAATTGCCTCGATACCATCGAGTATCGAAAAACATCTTGTCGTTCGGTACCAAATTTCGATACCTAAGGGGTTAATCTCATCAGCGTCAGTGAGCTGTAGGGATTTCTTAATATGAACAGACACTGATATCAGCATTCACAAGGTTTGCTAAATCACCCAGCACATGAATCCCATATTCTTGGTTGATTTCCTGTCAGTATGGTAAACTCATCTACTCATAATGTTTGACATCTAAATGTTTGACTTAAATTTTTTTTATATTGGATTTTTTATCTTATTGGAATCGAAACTAGGAATCGATAAGAATCGGAATCGATAAGCAGAATCGGAATCGGAATCGATAAAATTCAAACGATACCAAACCCTACTGTTCACGCGTTTGTGTG